TCATCCTCCGCCAACAGTACCATGTCATCTACGTACGCCAAACAATGCACCTTTTCCCCTCCCAGTTTCACCCCCCCCCCAACCTCCTTTTCTTAGCACTTCCTCTAATAGAACTATATATATATATATATATATATATATATATATATATGTATATATATAGTTCTATTATATTCATAAAATACAATGTATATTGTATTTATTGTGTTTATTTTAATTCTATTCTATTTATAAAATACAATGTACATCATATGTATTAATATATATTCTATTTTATATTAATAAAACTTATTATTTTTGAGCTCGTTTTATTTTTTTTAATTTTGACTATATGTTTATTTAATTCTTACAAAGACATTTAAAGCTATATAAAATTATACATTTAATTTTAATTTATATAGCTTCAATTTGCATTCTTTATTTTTAATTTTATATTCTATATAAATACTTATTCTATCTATATAAATATTACTTTATTTATATTTATATTATCAAATTATCTCCACAAGAGTAATATTGCATTCTTATTCAATATATTTGTTGACACAAAAAAAGATTTGTAAATGAATGAAATTATCATATTTTTATTTACTTGTATCTTATATACTATTATGTCTATAATACTTATTTAATTTTATATTTAACCGCCTGCGCACAACACCTTGCGCACAACAGCCAAAGTACTGTATTCTGTCTCACTTCATAGTTATACGTTCTTCTCACTTCCTCTTATGGGCGGTAGCCATATATGCTTATTACATATATGGTCGAATTAATCGAATCGATATCGATTCGACGTCTTTTCAACCAATCATTTCTGACTGGGTGTTTGTTATTGTTATTATTATTATTTATATTATATTTCTTGCAGAGGTATCTCCGCTTCCTTCCTTTTTTCCGGTTGGTTTGTGTAGAAGCGTTGACTTCTTTATCGGCGATATTGGTGGAGAAATTAAGGGCGATACTCTCCACAATACGACCTGTACGAGTACGAGGGATCGTTCCTTTAAAGGAGATCCAGGCGAACTATTTCAGAAGTCCAGGTCTATATTGTCGTTGGGGGCCTTTATGGGCGGAAGTTCTGAAAGAAGATTATTAGTAATTCTCAGCGATGATACGCCAGACTGGAATACTGAAGAGTTCTGGCGTTTTGGCGCCAGGAAGCGAATTAGTATTAAATTCGGGCGGGAGAATGCCAGGAAATCTCACTCTTAGGGTGCGATCCCATAATACGGAAATCGAAGTGCGGAACAGAGAATGCGTGAATTGAACAGCCAATCAGCGCTCTTCCGCATTTTTCTATCCCGCATGTTTTTCTGTGCCCTGTGCACACGGTGCGTGCACCGACATGAAAATGAAAGACATGAAAATGACGCGTTCCGGGAAATAAATACATAATTAAAAAAATAAGTATTTTATCGAAACAGTAATATTTGTTAATTTTATTCAAGTATAATATTTAAAATGTTGAAATAAATATTATTGAGACAGTATTAAATAAATTTAATTTAAAAAAAAATTATATTATTACAAAAATTGTTTTTGAATCCTATGACTCATTTTTGGTAATTTTTCCGTATCATGTGCACAGGGCACACCAAATTATGCGTCATTATTATTGATGTGTCTAGAGTTTTAAAGCAAAAATTAAAAATGGATAACAAATTATTAATGTTGCAAGAAGCTGTTAAAACAAAGAAGTTGCAAGAAGTTCTAAATTTCCGTATAACGGAACAAAGGAAAAAAATTTTCAGATAAAACACATCTGAACGCGTCAAAAAGACACTTTCAACTCTAACTTTATAGGTTAGCTAGAGTACGCAACGCATACACACAAACACATACGGAAAAAGATACAGAAAAATGCGGAAGAGCTCTGATTGGCTGTTCAATTCACGCATTCTCTGTTCCGCACGTCAATTTCGGTATCATGAGATCGCACCCTTAGAAGGACCGTTCGTGCTGGTGATGTCTTTTGGAGGAGGCTGCTCACCTGGTCTCCTTTTGGCCAACTTGTACAAGGGAGTTGGTCGGGTCCTCTTTCTGACCGTAATCAGGTCTTCTTCTCTCGGCCTCTTGTTAGAGACATTTGCGGTATGACTTACCTGTATTCTTTGGCGTCAGGCGCCATCGATACAGTAAGCATCGATAATTGTTTTCTCGCCGCAGAGGGTTTCCTTATACGAGGTGTGTTCAAAAAGTATCGCGAATTTTGTGTTTTTTCAAAAATTATTTATTTATTCATGAATATCTATTTTGTCCCCTTCAAAGTAATCCCCACCAGATATTATACACTTGTGCCAACGTTTTTTCCAATCCTCGAAGCACTTCAAAAAATCATTTTTTGTGATCTTGTTCAGCTCCTCCTTCGATGCCGTCTTTATCTCCTCAATCGTAGCGTAGCGTCGTCCTTTCATGGGCCTCTTCAGTTTCGGGAACAAGCAAAAGTCACAGGGGGCAGATCTGGGGAATACGGTGGCTGCGGCATTATTAGTGTGTTGTTTTTGGCCAAAAATTCGCGCACAAGCAACGATGTGTGAGCAGGAACGTTATCATGGTGCAAAAGCCAATTTTTGTTCTTCCACAAATCCGGGCGTTTCTGGCGGATTGCTTCGCGCAATTTGCGCATAACTTGCAGGTAATATTCTTTATTGACCGTTCTACCCTGTGGCAAGAACTCATGATGCACCACGCCCCTGCAATCGAAAAAAACTGTAAGCAAAACCTTCACATTTGACCGAACTTGGCGCGCTTTTTTCGGTCTTGGCTCGTGCGGCAGCTTCCATTGGAATGATTGAGCTTTGGTTTCCACGTCATAACCATAAACCCATGATTCGTCACCAGTTATGACCCTCTGGAGCAAATTTGGGTAGTCGCGGACAGAGTCCAACATCTCCTGAGCAATGTTAATGCGCCCATACAGCACAGATTATTGCAATTATATTGCAGCAACGTTGCAATGTTGCAAGTTGCAATGCAACATTATAAAGACATTGCAGAGATATAAGTGCACAAAATTCCAGCACACTTGTAGCAACATGACATTAATATTTTGGAAATATTGCATGTAATCCAAATTCTATAATTTATATATTGTAATATATATAAATTAACTACAACATATTTTCATTAATGATTTATTTACATTTATATACCTGTATATGCAACATTAGTTTATGGTTGCAATAACAATGCATTATTGCAAACTCATAACATATTGCAATATTGTTGTAATATTTTGTTGCAATCTTCCAAAAAGCGGACATTTTAACATTGCTGCAATTCAACAGCAATGATGTAGCAACATTTTGCAGTGAATTTGCAATATTGCAATATTGCGGTGAAAGATTGTTGTAATGTTTTTGCAATCTATCGGTGCTGTATGGGCGATGCTGTTTTTGGTCGAAATTGAGCAATTTTGGTACGAATTTCGCGGCGACCCGTGTCATGCCCAAATCATTGGTAAAAATCGAATGGCACGAGCCAATCAATATGTTTAGGTCCTCAGCAACTTCTCTAACGGTGATTCAACGATTGACCAATACTATTTTCTTCACTTCATCAATGTTTTCGTCTGTTGTTGACGTGCTCGGGCGTCCGGCACGCTCTTCGTCGTTCACATCTTCTCGGCCCTCGGAAAACATTTTGTACCACCGATAAACGTTGCTTCGGTCCAAGGTAGCTTCACCATATGCCACAGTCAACATTCGGAATGCGTCCGCGCACTTAATTTTGTTTTTCACACAAAATTTGATACAGATTCTTTGATCCATTTTTTGGAATAGGCAAAAATCGAAGACGAGCCAAAACACGTGCAAGCAAAGCAGCTGTCAAAAATTAACTGAACATTCAAAATGGCCGTACTTGTCGGCATAAATGAGAAACATGAGTACCAACATAACGCCACAAAAAAATCGAAAATCGAATATACGTAACCCGCGGAAATTCAAAATTCGCGATACTTTTTGAACACACCTCGTATCCCCTGCGTGGGTGTATTTCACATACGGGTAGCGCGCCCGCGTTGCGCTCAAAGTTTTTGACGATCCATCATAACGATAAAATGCGGTTACTTTCTTTCAAAAGTTCTTTCAAAAGTTTTTTCAAATGTTTTAAAAATTCCGATATAATCATATTGTTTAATAATGACAACAGTGTCAACTAACTGCGCTTTTATTAAGAAAGTATGTAAATTTTAATTCTTGCATTTAACATCAAAACGTTTATCTTTATTAATCTTAATTAATTGTATTATTTTAGTTTCTCACTTGAAAAGGACCAAAAACAGATGGTCGAAACGTTGTGGAAATAAAATAAAAATTTTCTTGGCTAGTTTGGGTTGAATTTAATGTATCGTTCCTATTTTAAATATCATTAGCGACGTTTTAAGTATTCAATTTGATTAAAATTTATATTTATGACAAAAAAATTATAATTAACGGATAATATATCTTATGCACAAATTTATTGAAAAATATTCAATTCTATCATATATTCAAATGACAAGGAATTACAGGTCCTGCTCTTTCTGCCGCCAATCTGCTATCAGATTATGTTTAACAGATCTGCTCGGTTTCTGCCGTCAATTTGCTATCAACTATATTGTGCAGATCTGCTCAGTTTTTGCCGCTAATCTGTTATCAGATTTTGCTTACTACTTATGCTAGGAGAATGTCATCAATTACGGACACAGTAGACAGGAATCTGCTTTAAAGTCATGATTAGATTTGCTGTCATATTGCCCATATTTTGTTAACATGTTTTGCTATCTGGGTAGTTACGTATTTTCTCTGCCTTAGGCCCGTTCTACAATACGTCGTATGTCGCAGTCGGATGCCGGAACGTAAGCGATTGTCCAATGCGGAAATTTTGTTTTCGAAAGAGAAATTTCCTCATTGGACAATCGCTGATGTTCCGACATACGACGGTATTGTAGAACCGACCTTAAGAAGGGATTTATGTGATGTCATATATTTTGATAAAATATTTTGTATTTTAAGTCGATACACCAATTGCATCTTCACGTTGGGCAAGTATATTTGAAGGATGGGTGGATGACTCGTCTTACGATCATCATGATGTATCGCATGACGAAATAGTGGAAGCAAGTGAAACAGTGTTAGAACAAGAGGAAGAAAAGGAAGATCATGAGAAAGGAGAATCGACAGAAGAAATTGGCGAAGAAGAAAAAGCAGAAAAAGAGGAGGAGACAGAAGAAGAAGAAGAAGAAGAAGACGAAGAAGAAGAAGAGAAAGAAGAAGATGATGATGAAAAAGAAGAAGAGGAAGAGGAGGAGGAAATAGATGAAGCAGAAAATGAAGAAATAGAAGAAGAAGAGGGGGAAGAAGGAAGTCAAGAAGAGGAAGAGATACAAGAAGAAGAAGGTAATAATGACGCAAATGGTACGTGCAAAATGTTACAAAAATATTAAAAATATATATTTATTTTTATTAAAATATATTTGTAGAAGATGAAAGCGAAGAAAAAGATATTGATGAAGAAAGGGCCGACGAAGAAGAAGACGAAGAAAAAACACAACAACAATATGACAATGCTGATACATTGGAAGAAACTGATGATGATGAGACAAATGAATATGATGATGGAAACGAAGGAAATGATAACTTTGATGTGGAGCTTGAAGCTAGCATGGAGATTGTTGATACCTCTGTAGAAGAAAAAGATGACGATATATTTATGGGATTCGCAGATATACCTGGCATTCATAAAATTGACTCTAATAGTGCTGATCCTCTAGAAGAGGTACGTACGTTTTATTATTTTTATTATTTTTATTATTTTGTATATTTTGCACTATTTTTATATATTTGATTATATCTTTCGACGTTGATTATATCTTTCGACGTTGATTATATTTTATATTTCTTTAATTTTTTGTCATTAAAAATACTTTTTATTAGATAGAAAGTGAAGAACGAGAAGAAGATATAGATGATGTAGAATCTGAAGTTGAAGCTGAAGAGGAAGAAATTGAAGAATCTACTAGCGGTGAGTCTGTGAGAAAATATATATTAAAAATACCTTTGCTAAAGCCTTTTGATAATTACATAATTTCAACTAGATATATAATATATGATCCTCCATGCTCTTTTATTCGATTTTAACTCTGATTGTGAATATAACATGAAAATATATAATATAAGCATCAGCATCTGTTCTTCCTTTTTCACAATATAAACATTATAAAGACAAAAATATCTCGTGGCTTTATACTTATTGACTATATTATGGTAATTTCCTATATAAAAAAGATAGTAATCAGAAATGAAACATATGGTGCTTGCAGTGGCTGTGAAATTTGGAGTCGGTGTTGCACTTGTTGTTGCTGCGCATTTTGTTCTCGTTAGACGATGGAACAATGGTAAATTTTTATATGCATTATCTTATATGTATATCAGCACATTTCTTATAACAGGCGCTGCAATAATATATGTATATAACACATATAAAAAGAAAATAATTAATTTAGATTTATTAGATTAAATAAGTTTTAAATTTTAATTTGTATTATTATTGCACTCGTTATAAGATTTAAAAAGATCAAAATTGAAATCTTTTACAGGTAAGTAAAAAGTTTTGACATATATAAATTTATTCTAACTAAATCACGATCTGTGTTTCTTTCTTTCATATATATATTTAAAAAAGCTTCTTAGGTCCTCATCGCGGCCATGTTAGATTATTGTCATATCAGAGGCCTGATTTCACAATTTCATCATGGTCGGCGAGGAACTTTTCATTAATATATTATATATTACAGAATATTTATAGAATTGACAGTTGTTTATTTTACACCTTTCTTGCATGCATCTACATAAAATACTGAATGACTCAATTTTTCAGTTAATACTTCCTGTTCTTCACATGATTCAATCGACACACCTGATTTATCAAGACGCAATACAATAGTTCCACCACTTCATATTAAACAAGCGATTATATCAGCTGAGAAAATAGATGATAAAGCACCTGTAGAAGTGCAAATAAAAAATTATGAAGACTTGAGATCCAAGTATAAGAAGCTGCAAAAAGAAAATATTTCTCGAACTGATGTAAAGAATTTGATTTCAAAAGATAAATCACAAATAACAAAAAAATCAACTCAAAATACAGCTAAAGCAGGTGTGATGAATAATTGTCTTATTTTTTTTCTATCGTATTGAAATAAACTGTGTATGTGTGTCTCACAGATTTGCTTATATTTTTTCGGCTATAGAAATCAATACTAATCGGGATCAATTTAAAATAGTATCATCTGAGGAAGAAGATTATGAATTAGAAACATCAGAAGGCGAACGTATTTCGGGAACGGAAGAGTACGATGAAGAGCGAATAGAAGAAAATAATGATAATGAAGAAGAAGAAGAAGAAGAAGAAGAAGAAGAAGAAGAAGAAGAAGAGAAGAGGAAGAAGAGAAGAAGAGGAAATCGAAAATGTTGATGATTCAGAATTAATAGCTAAACTTGATGCAAAATATGGAAAATTATCCACTCCACAGGATAGTGAAGCTGATGCTGAAGAAGAAGATGAGGAGGAAGAAGAGGAAGAGGAGGAGAAGGTGGAGGTGGAGATGGAGGAGGAGGAGGAGGAAGAGGAAGTGGAAAAAGAGGAAAAGGAGAAGAGGAAACAAAAGACAAAATACTAGAACGAAAACGTAAATAATAATTATATATTTTTTAATGCGTAACATGCATGTAGAAAAAAAACTTTTAACAGTTCCTTTTAGTCTAACAATTAATAACATAACTTTGACGTACTATATATATATATATATATATGTTTATTAAATAATAGAGATTTGTATATGTATTGTGGTTTTATAAAATATCTTATATTGTCTGGAAATTATATAAACATGTCATCATTTCCTAGTTTACAAATAAATTAAAATTTGATAGATAAAACTAAAACAGTGAGACAGATAAAATATGAGCATGGAGGATCTTTATTGTATCAGAATAATTATTTTTTCTTTAATTTATCAAAATACTATATAATAAATTAATTAAAAATCTTTATAATCTTTATATAACACATATTAAAGATTTTTAATTAATTTCTTATATTAATATTTTAATTATATATATAATTGATTTAAAATGTTTGTGATATATAATAAAAATAGGTTTAAACATTGGTATAAATATATAGTACAGGTAAATATATATAAAGTGTATTGCAGTTTTCGCGAAAATATTTGCTTTGCGAACAGGTATTAAAGCTCTGAAGGACTCACATATGGAATCTGAAGCAAGAGCATCCATTCGACAAACAGAAATTGAAATTAAACAACAGGATAGTGATCAACTTAAAAAGGAAGGAAGAGCTTATTTTAATAATATATCGAATATAAATAACATATAGTCGCTTATGAAAAAAATAATAATTCTACAGAATCCCAGATTGACAGTAAACTTCGCAATTATAGAATATGTGCTTTTGTAAGATAATTTGATAACATTTATTTTTCGAGCTAAAATTATTTATTTCGACAACTGACTTGTTTCGAAAATGAAAACATAATACGATTTATAATTTTAAAAAATATTAAAATATAACATATAATTATATGTAAACAAATTGTATATTTCAATCTTTTGCTCGTTTTTTTCACTCTTTAACAATAAGATTTCTGAATTTTTACTTGTTGAGAATTTATCACGATTTGCAACGTGTTAACGTGTTGAAGAAAAACTCAATTAACATTTATATCGTATGCTTTTTTAAGGATATTAGATTTTTACAAAAATGGCCGATGTATAGCATACATAATAAAGTTAGATTAATTTAAGATTTAAGGGAAAGGAAATACATTTTTTCTCTATAAGGTATATCAGTACCATTGTAAAAAAATATTTGTTGAATGTAAACTATGATAATCAATCAATTAAATCATACAATTATAAACGTCGTGACAAAGTTGAAGATGTAAAGAGAAAATAATGTTTGTATAATTATTTTTACATAAAATTATTTATTCAAAATATTCACAATTGCAAAAGAAACAATATTTTTTTAGATTATTAAGTAAGATTATTTTATAGTCAATTCTGAAATACTTTCAAAACCTTTGACGAAAGTATAACATTTTTGAGAAATATAAACTTAAAGATGTTTATGATTATTCGTTCTTAATATATATATTTTCCTCATCTTCTATCTTCAAAAAATGTGTATTTAAAAAATCTGATAATTAAATAATCTGTATATTCATGTAACTTTCAGCAATCCATATTAATATTTTATATTATGTCTTGTACTATTAGAAATACAATACGCGCTGTCTCAATCTCTATCGTGTCACTCAAAACGCAAAATACAAATATTTTACAATATATAATGTAAAAAAAATTTTATTTTATAATAATTAAACAACGAGAAATTCATCTTTTATATTTTCTAAACATTGTACAAGTCAAATGTATGTATAAATAAAAAAAAATCCTGAGGAATTGTCTTATGAAAACTGCTGTGTAATTTTTCTACGCAAATGTGTATCGCAATTTAATATTTATGCTTGTGTCGTTTACGCGGGGAAGGAGGACTACAAGCTCTATGTTTAGAGGAAGTACGTGGAGGTGGTGGAGGCGACAAAGAGGGTGATCTGCGTGATCCTCTTTTTCTATCGCAACGTTCATTAGTGGGCGATCTGCGTGATCCTCTGCCTGAAGAAAAGGAAGGCGATGGTGTACGTCGAATACGAGGGGGAGAAGGGGTTACTGGTACGCGTTTTTTATACGGAGATCTTGATCTACGTTTGCAGCGAGGCGATCTACTGCGTGATCTAAAAATATATAACAAGTAGAAATATACAATATATATAAAAAGTACCGGGACCTCTAAATATTTCGAAAACTAAGCATTTTAGAAAAAAATGTTTCCAATGAATTTTATAGAGCTCAAAATAGGGCATTTAATGGTGACCTCGATTTTGATCTAGGGATCAAATTTAGGTCATTTCAAGGTCGACTTAATTTTTTAAAATGGAACCTCCTACTTTTTATTGCATACTCTTGTAGCTTATCTCGAGAGCTTTCCAAAACACTATAATAAAACATTTTTTCATTAAGTACTTTTTGAGTTATAAAGGTTTAAAAAAGATGCATGTAATTTGCAATATATTTCATTAAAGCAACTATGTGTTTTCTTTAAACCAATTGATTGGTCTCATTATTCCATGCACAAAAGTATTAAGGTATGATTACCGAAAAATAAATATTTTACAAGTTTTTACATTTTGTGTCAAAAAATTGTTAACTTTAAACCTTTATAACTTAAAAAGTACTTAATAAAAGAATATTTTATTTGAATGTTTTGGAAAACTCTTGAGATAAACTGTAAGAATATGCAATAAAAAGTAGGGGATTCCATCTAAAAGAATTAGATTGATCTTGAAATAACCTCTAAGTTTGACCCCTAGGTCAAAGTCAAAGTCACCATCAAATACCTTATTTTGAGCCCTATAAGATTGATTGGAAACATTTTTTTCTAAAATGCTTAGTTTTAGAAATATTTAAGGGTCCCCAGTACTTTTTATACACCCTCTATATTTATATATATTCTTTCTCAATAATTATTTCATAATGTCAATTAATATATACAGTCAGTTTAATATACACAGAGTGTCCAATTTTGATCGACTCCCAAAAACAAAAGTTATTTGACTTGAAGGAGGATAGAAGATGGCGCTACTGACTTTTCTGAAGGACGCTTTTCTGAGTCATTTGAAGGGCATTTGTTTTTTTAAATGAAACTACTATAATTTTTTATATAAATCGATTTCTCGTAATTTTTGGCATAAAAGTTGTAAGATGGCCAGAAAATGAATAGTTTACGAGATATTTTATATTTAAATTTGACGCTAATGGCACATAAACTATCAAATATCTCGTTAAATATTCATGTTTCGACGATTTTATCACAATACTTTCATACATAAAATAATGAAAAGAATCAATTGATGTAAAAAAAGTTTATAAGAAAAAATATACTAGTTGCATATAAACTAGTAGCTATATATTTTTTCTTACAAACACCTGTGTTTTCTTTGTACCAGTCGATTCTTTTCATTATTTTATGCATAAAAGTATTGTGGTAAAATCGTAAAAAAATAAATATTTTAAGAGATATTTCATAGTTTATGTGTAAGATTGTAAAATTAAAAATATAAAATATCTTATTTATTTTATAACATATTATTCATAATTTTTTATACAGAATATTACGAGAAATCGATTTATATAAAAAAAAAAAAATGGTTTCATTTAAAAAAAACATAAATGGCTTTCAAATGATCTTGAAAAGTGCTTCAGAAAAAAAATCAGTAACATTATCTTTCCTTTCCGAATCAACAATTTTTTTAAGCATTTTTTTATGCAACCAAAAATAAAAGTTTTTGGGAGTGGTTGATTAAAATTAGATTATTCTGCATGGACAGATATACATGTATATATAAAAGTATTAGTTGTAAAACAAAAATTGCGTTAGATAATCTCTAAATATTGTTAAAAAGCATCAGATAATAAAGATCTCACATATTATGTAACAAAGAAAATATAAAATTTAGAATGTATATGTATAAAAGAAAACCCAGCCAGACAGAGCATTTACCTATATCTAGCAATTTTGGATGATGGACTTATTGATCGTCTCCGATCTCTGTAGCTGTGACTAGGAGATTCTGGTGTGGTACTTCGGCTTCGTTTCTTTTCCCTTCGTTTTTCATCATCACGTTCTTCGCTTTTTACGTCCTTCATTTCTCTCTCGCTCTATGTAATTTTTATGTATACGTGACTGTATATATGTGTTATCTATTGCATTTAATGTGTAAAAATATTGTACCTTTCTTATTAGTTTTTTCCTATAATGCTCTACTTGTGCCTGTATTGTCATGCCAGATTTCAATGTTCTTCTACCACTTTCTAATTCATCCTGATATTGCATAATTTTTACTTCAATTTCACGTAATCTATTTCGTCTTTCTTCATTGTAATCTCTACCACTGTTTAAATAATTTTATTATTAATATATTTTTAAATTATATTTCTAAATATATTATTCTAAATATATTCTATATATATATATATATATATATATATATATATATATATATTCTAAATATATTTATAAGTATATTATAAAAATATTATAAATTATTAAAATATTTTTAACGTATAAGACGGGCAACAAGAGCCAAATCGCGGATGACAATGCGTTATCCTAACGAAACTAAATAATTTTCCGTTAGAATTAAATACCGGTGCACAAGGCACCAAATTTTTACTTGGACACGGCCAAGATTTTAAATATGAAATAATCTCATATTTGAGATTTAATTTCAATACCCCTTTTAACCCCCCTACGGAAAATAAATAAATGAATGCAAGAGAAAAATATAGATCCGAAAATCGATTCCCGATTCAGCGATTTTCGGATCTATATTTTTCTCTTGCATTCATTTATTTATTTTCCGTAGGGGAGTTAAAAGGGGTATTGAAATTAAATCTCAAATATGAGATTATTTCATATTTAAAATCTTGGCCGTGTCCAAGTAAAAATTTGGTGCCTTGTGCACCGGTATTTAATTCTAACGGAAAATTATTTAGTTTCGTTAGGATAACGCATTGTCATCCGCGATTTGGCTCTTGTTGCCCGTCTTATACGTTAAATTTATATTTATATTACAGAGCCTTGTTAAAACTCTTATAAAAATATTTTTGTTATACATAGAAAATTTTCTACATGATCGACAATTGCAAAAAGTTCTACCTGGAATCCATACTAGTATCTTGAGAATTGGAATCTTCGTTCTGACCTAATTCTTCCCATTTACTGGTAGTCATTGCTTGCGCCTCGACCTGAAAAAATAAAACCTAGTGTATAAATACAATGCGAGAAAATATTAACATTATTTTATTGTGACAGAAACATTTTAAAACCTGATCAGGATCGACAGTTTCCCATCGTGAGGGTACAAATCCGGCTGGCATTGCTGATTTCTTCTCATCATCCTTATTCCGCGTGTTTACATTGTCGTCATCATCCATTGGCACTCCATCAATATCTTCGTCCACTATGCGATATATATATATATATATATATATATATATATATGTGTGTGTGTGTGTGTGTGTGTGTGTGTGTGTGTGTGTGTGTGTGTGTGTGTGTGTGTGTGTGTGTGTGTGTGTGTGTGTGTGTGTGTGTGTGTGTGTGTATGTATAAGTGTACATATATACAGTGTGTCCCGTTTTTAATGACGATCTCAAATAT